TGCTGCAAAATGATTGGCGAGAAGCGAATCAGTTCCGTGACGTCACACGAGAGCAGCGCTTTCAAGTGTTTCCTCGCGCTCTCCAAAGCGACCAATCGGACGGCAGAGGACTGGAGAGAGAACCAATGAGAAGGCTTCACACAGATTCAAAGCTCACCTCTTCGCGGTTGATGCGCGCGAACGTCTCCAACGCCGCCTCGAGGCTCGGGTCACGTGATTGGAGCGAAGAGCAGAGTCTGAGCGCGACCTTGAACGCGTCCTTGGCCACAAAGCGCGTGTCTGGCATCGACAGCCCTTTGCCCAATCCGAGCGCCTGACACGAGAGATAACCGGCGGGAAGAGAGCCGAACACGGAGAGCGCCACCTGCTGGCTGGTCACGTGGCCGCGCAGCGGGAGCCAGGCGTGGCCGACGGGAGTGCGCGTGCATTCCTTCTTGCACGAGATGTGGAAGAAGTTGAACAATAGGTGAAGTTTCTCTTTCCTCGCGATCGGAAGCGAAACCAAAAACTCTTCGTTGAACTCTGGGTTCGCGTTGTGTCGCGCGACAGCCGTCGTCGCCGACGTCCCGAGCGTCGTCGCGTCGTCGCACAGCAGCGCCGCCAGAGGGCGCGCGTCGGCGGCGTCGGAATCCCTGAGTTGGAGCTCGCACTCGATGTTTCGCGCTTTGGGGAACACGCGCTGCGAGTCGTACTTCAGCGAAAGCGGGAACACGAAGAGCGCGTGCAGGAAGCGCGCGATGGGCTGCACGTCGGGCTGCAGGCTCTCCACGGCCGCGGCTGCGCAGTCCGCGTCGTCCACCTCCAGCACCAGTTGCGCCCCTATTGTCGTGCGCATCAACGAGTGGTTGTTGAGACACGATTGGATGTATTCGTCGGAAATGCGGTTCGCGTCCAATCGGAACAGAGGGGTGGAAAGGGGGCCGCGCAGCAGTTGCCCATCTCCCCCATAGAGCGGGCGCGCGCTCCATCCCAGCGGCTCCCGGTGCTGCTGTTTGTGACACGAGCTCTTCTCGACGCGCGTCACGAGATACAAGTCGTTTCTATTGCCGTCGTCCACTTGGAGGCGGAAGCGCGATAGAGCGGGCGCGCGCTCCATCCCAGCGGCTCCCGGTGCTGCTGTTTGTGACACGAGCTCTTCTCGACGCGCGTCACGAGATACAAGTCGTTTCTATTGCCGTCGTCCACTTGGAGGCGGAAGCGCGCCCTCTGTTGACTGGTTTTGGAACGAAAACGAAACTCTTGAGAGATTTTCCCGTTTTTAGCGCAAAAAACACAAATCTTGGAGAAAAGCGTTTCCGTTTTCGCGTTCACTTCCAGGCGCGCCGAAGAGACCACCACTGCGCACGCGCCCGCACCGCGCTTCACTTCCGGCTCCCGTAAGCGCGCGAACGAACCCTTGCGAGCGCTGAGGTCTGCGAAGGCGCCGAAGATGTTGGCCTTCGACACGAGTTCTGGGTTTTCGGGAAAACGGATTCTTTGAAGCGTTTTCTTTGCGTCGAAACGGTTTTCGTTCATCTCTTCGATCCAGTCGTCGATGACGTCATCGGCGCCCAACTCTATGCAATGGCAGTCAATCTGAATGCAATTCGCGTCCTTCTTGACGGCGCGTGACGTCACTTCCTGCGACCAAATCAGTTGCTGTCGTTTCCGGTCTCTGAAGAACGAGAGAAAGCAATTCTCGTTCTGTTTCCATAGCGACAGAAAACCGTTCATTCGGTTCATGACGCAAGACGTCTCGCGAATCACGCGCTTCGTCTCCATTGTCGCGCTTTCGCCGCAAAACACGTGACTTTTTAACGCATTTTCGCCCAAATCGTCGAAACACTCGAAAACCGAACCAAAAAGCGATTCCGAAGAGAACTGAACGAAAATCAGTTAAAACTCAAAACAAAAGCAATTCTTACGCAAAGAACTCTTCGCTCGCGCGTCAAATACGAACAACACGTGCGCGCGAACGCAGAGCCGCCGCTCGTGTCCACCGCTCGCGTCTCGTGCGCCGGAATGACGTCAATCTGCGGTCAAAGAGACGTTATTTGCGGACAAAAAGTTCATTGAATTACTTTTAAGTCGTTTTCTGGAATCGAAAGCGAATTTTCTTCGATTTGTTGGAAAAAGAGTTCAAAGTTTTCGTCAAAATCTTCGTTCGATTCGTTCTCCGTTTCCGTCACCAATGATTGGCGCAATTCTCGCGAAACGTTTTCCCGAGTTTTGGCCGCAGTTTCCGATAAACTGGCCTTAAGTCGCGTGAACTTGCGGTCGGCCATCGCTTCTCTGTTGACGTCACTCGTGTCGCCCTCTCTCGGCCTCTTTCCACAACTCTCAGCAAAAGTTCTTTATTTCAACAAAAGTTTAATTCATTACAAAGTCTCTGAGAATGTCGTCGACGTCGGCGTCGTTCCTGTCGTCGTCTTTGGCGTCAATCGTGTCGTTCGGCAGCTCTTTCTCCGGCGAATCTCTGACGTCATTCTCGATGTCATCGAATGTGATGTCGTCTGCGGTGTCGTCGAGTCTATCGTCGAGTCTGTCGTCACTTCTCTCGTCCGACACTTTCATGCGTTTTGGCGGCGATTCGGTCGCAATGTCTTCGGTTTCGATAAAAACGCTTTGTTTGTGTCGATTGTCGTCGTCTTCGGGAAACGATGTTTCGATTGACAATCGATTAATCGATAATCGAATGATTTGTTCGCAAAACTCTCGAATCGAATGGTTTTGTTCGCGAATTAGCGCTAATTTGGCGAAAGAGACGACAGTTTTGACGTCACTTCCGGCCGATTGTTGTCTCGAAACCATAGTTGCCGTCAAATGCCATAAATTACGTCGAATTTCGTCTCTGAAAGAGAATTCGGTTTAAAAATGACGAAAACTTTGAATTCAAAAACCTTTCGAAATGAGAATTATTATCACGTGATCTGAAAAGAGAGCGAAATTAGCGAAAAGTCTTTAATTGAAGGCAAAAACAACCGATAAATGGAAACCAAAAGCGAAACACAGGTCTGAAGAGCGCGTGAACCGGAAGTGAGCGAAGGAAGCGAACGGAAAGTCGCGTTCAAAGCTGTGGAAAAAGAAATCGTTGAAAGAATTGTTTAATCTTTAAGAGAAATACCTTTCAATGCATTTTGAATTGCGTTTCGATTCTGTAAAAAACAAACATTAATAACAACAATAATGAACGCAAAACACGACCTCTGGTGGAGTTGTGACGCAATCGCAGAGCACGCGGACGAAGCGGTCGACGCGATTGTTGCCCAAAGCGCTTCTCGCGCCCAAAATTTTGACATATTTGCGGAAAAAGACGAAAAGAAACGGATTTTTCGCCGAAAAGTATTTCTCGAGAATTCGATTGACTTTCGGACAAAAGACGAGAAAATCGTTTCCAATTCTAAACAGAGAAAGAATTAATCGTTTGTTTCGAACGTTTCGGCGCTCACGTGATGAGCAGCGCTTCCAACACTTGGAACGCCGTTTCCGCGAAACAGTCGTCGAGCGCGAGATCTGAGGCCAGAGAGAGAACGGCGGCCGCCGGCACGCGAACAACGGTTTTGGGAGCCGTGAGAAGAGCGATGAGCGCGAGAGGCCAGAAGTTATTGTTTTTTTCGCGGCTTTTTTCCAAACAAAGTTCGAAATATTTTCCGTGAATTTTCGTTCGATTTTGAGATAAAAGAAAAAGTTTTCCAAAAAGTTGAGAAAAAATCTGAAGAAAAGAGAAATGAAATGAAAAGCGCGCGAAATTGCGGCGAAAGTGCGAACCAATTGTTGAGAACGCGATTCAGTTTTGAGCGCATTGTTGAGAACGAAGGCTTCGATTGGAAGTCGTTTTGGAATCAAATTCGAAGAGAAATCGCGAATAAAGAGCAGAAGAAGTCGCGCGACAACAATGGGGTCTCTATTGGAGGCCAACAGCACGTCAGTCGCGGGCACAACAATAGCGGCCAATTGCGACGACACGTGACGACAGGAGTGACGACACGACACAGTGTTCAACAATGCGGACAAAAGTCGCGCGCAATTCGCGAAATGCGTTTCCTTTTGGGAAATAAATGTTAAAAAGTTTTCGCGTTTTTTCGTTCGAAACCTTTGAAAGATTTTTCAAACAGATTTGTGACCAAAAGATGGCGTTTTCGGCAATAATGGAGTCATCGAAGAGATCGAGACGCGAAATAAGAAGCGAAAAGTGTTTTGATCTGAAAGTAAAGAAATCAATTGAGACGACACGTGACGACGCGCGCGACGACACGACGACAGACCTGACGTCACTTTGGAGTTTGAGTTTCGCGCAAAACGCGGAATCTGTGGCCAATTGTCGAGACATTGTTGAAATCATGCTTTCATTAAATACACATTTATTTACAAAAATTGTTCACAAATAACGTCTGAATAATGACTGGAAATGACTTTTAGGCACTTTTGACGCAATTGTTTGCGAAAACGAACTTTTTGTTGCAATCACGCGATGGACACGACTTGAGACACAAGTAGACGTCGATGTCGTCGTCTGTCGTCGTGCTGTGCGTCAGATCGCGTTTCGTGGCGCGCGGCAGACACCTCGCCGTTCCCGCCGTCCGACAAACGCGTTTCACGCGCGGCCCGGAAGAGCGCGCCACCATCAGGAGGCCGGGCGCCGCGTCGGGGTGGCCGGGCTGTGCGGCGCCCGTGTCCACTGCGGAGAGAGGGTTAGGCGTTGCTATGGAAACACGGGGACTGACCTGTGATGAGCGCGACGTTAGGGGGCGCCAGCAGTTTGGGCGCGAACTCAAGGCACACGCTGTTTCTGACGTCACGCGCGACGCGGAACTTCTGGAGACACACTTTGAGCCAACAGCCGCGACACCTGGCGGACGACGACCGCCACTCAGCGGCGCCCAGCGGACAGTCGCCTGCGGGAGAGAGTGGTCAGCGAATGGACACAAATACACAACTACTGACCGTTTTGCGCGCAGAAGTATTGTTTCGGTTGTTTTAGGAATTTGGCGAAGAATTTGGAACAACTTTCGCAACTGTGGAGAGAATGCATTAGCGCTCACGTGACGAGGGGATGACGTCATACCTGAACACGCCGTAGCGGCGCTGCACGTGCGAGTAGAACTTGGTTTGCGCGCAGATGGCGCACGTGATGGATCCCGGCTGACCAGACCTGTAGTCATGGAAACAGAGAGTGACAACAATGAGCACACGTCGGGCCGAACCTCTGAGTGGAGTCGCGCGCGGGTGCGGCGGCGGCGGGCGAGGAGTCACGTGACGACTGGTGCGCGGTTTTGCGGATCTTTTCGATCGTCTGTTTGTTGATCTCGAAGCGCGCCTTCCGGACGATGCTCTTCGTCGCGATGGCAACGGCCGCCGATTGGTTGAGCGCGCGGATCCTTTCCTCCCATTGGTTTCGCAGCAATTCCTGAATTCTTCGCGTTTTCTCGAAACTCTTCTCCGAAACGACTGTTGAGTCGCGCGACGGCTGACACTCCGATTGGCCGAAACCGAGGAAATCCTAAACCAATGAGAGAGCGATTAGTGTTTCGAATAATCACAACAAACGGACATTCGTCTCGTCCTCCGATTGGTCGTCGACTTCGCGCCACAACTGTTGTCCGAAACGCACTCTCGATATCACGTGACGTAAAGTCGAATGCTTTTGAAACCAATTTTCGGCATTTTTTGCGTTAAAAGCAATTAATTTTCGTTTTTTTCCTAATTTTCTCCAATTTTTCATTTTAACGCAATTTTCGGCCATTTTTTCCAAAACAAACATTTCTATTGGTCTAGAGATTGAGCCAATCAGAGCCCAGCGCCACAAATACAAACTCCGCCCAAAAA